TCTCTCTCTCTCTCTCTCTCTCTCTCTCTCTCTCTCTCTCTCTCTCTCTCTCTCTCTCTCTCTCTCTCTCTCGCTCTTTCTCTCTCTCTCTCTCTTTCTCTCTCTCTCTTTCTCTATTTTTTTTTCTCTCTCTTTTTCTCTATCTTTCTGTGTGTGTGTGTGTGTGTGTGTGTGTGTGTAAGAGTGTGTCCAAAAGCACAGCGAGTGACGCTCCAACACACGTGACGTGTACTCCATGCCATTGACTCATTAGGGATGCAGCCCAAGAACACAAAACAATACACAAGTTTTTCTCATCAGTTCCCTTGTAATCGTTTTCTAAAATCCATAGACTCGATGAAAAGACTTATGCTATAAGCCACAAGGTGTCGGACGACAAACAACAACGACACACATACCATAGGCTGGAGGGAACGGGGAGGTGGGTGGGCAGATAAACAACATCAAGCAGTGAACCAAAATAAAAAACATAGCACAAGACAACCAACGTGGCATAGGACAACAGACCACATCAAAGGACACAGGTTGAAGGGCACGGAAGAGGTGGGAGAGAAGATGACAAACGAGCACACAAAACAGCCAAACCAGAAAAAAAATACAATAGGGGCAGGGTCTTTCTTTTATTCCTATTTGTCTTTTGTTAATCCAGTTTTGTTTTTGTTCAGAAATAGTATGTAGCTTGAGAGGAGAAAGGGACACTTGACACTAGGGGACACTGGGTGCTCCACAGTAGAACAGAATAAAACAGAACACTAACTACAGCCGCATAATGGGGCTATATATAATAAAACATGCTATTTGTTTAAAAAAATAGCAATAAAAAAAAAATAAAAACGAAAAAAATAAAGCTGATGATGAAATATTGTTTCGTCGGAGTTGCACCGAATCGTCAGGAGGCTGAACTTCTCAGTCTGGCCAGGATGCATTTGGCTGATGGATAAACCTATAGATGTTGATCCAATTCCGAGCTGTCCTAAAATATTAAAAATAAAAAATAAAAGAAAACCTTTTTCCGTTTTTTTTTGAATTTGTAGTTGTAATTTTCACAATGATTTGTTTTTTTTTTCGTTCCACTGTTTTGTTTTTTTTTTTCCCTGTTTCCTGTTTTTTTTTTATTTATTTTTTTTGGCTTTTAGTATTAGTAGGTAAATACTCGAATGCGCTCGTGCTCTCTCTCTCTCTCTTTGTATATATATACATATATATATATATAGGACGCACACTCGCGGCCCCTTCCTTCGAAGACCATTTTAAAGATAAACTTTTGGATGTTGGTCCAATTTCGAGCTATCCTAAGATATTAAAAAAATATTATTAAAAGAAAATCTTTTACTTCTTTTTTTAAAGATTTGTAGTTGTATTTCTCACAATGACTTTTTATTTGTTTTCCTCTCCTCCCCCTGTTTCGTTTGTTTTGCTAGTCTCCCACTCTTTCATGCGCACCCACCCTCGCTCAAGTTGGTCCACACAACCCCTCCCAATACACTTTGGAATATAACGCACAAACGAGATTAAGTAATGAAAACTTTCGTTGTGTATTTCGGTAACGAAACATCGAAAGCACTTCAAGATATAACATAGAAACGAGACTAAGTAAATCCCAAAAATCCCGAAGTCTATTTCGGTAACGAAACACTGATCACACTTCGGGATATAACATAGAAACGAGACTAATTAAATTTTGAAAATCCCAAAGTCTGTTTCGGTAACGAAACACCGAACACACGCCGAGATGTAACATGTCAAATCAAGTAAAATGACGAAGTAAACTCCTAAAATCTCGAAGTGTATTTCGGTAACGAAACACCAAAAACACTTCGGGGTATAACGTAGAAACGAGACTAAGTAAATTCTGAAAATCCCGAAGTGTATTTCAGTAACGAAACACCGAAAACACTTCGGGATATAACGTAGAAACGAGACTAAGTAAATCCCGAAAATCCCGAAGTGTATTTCGGTAACGAAACACCGCAAACACTTCGGGATATAATGTAAAAATGAGACTAAGTAAATCCCGAAGATCTTGAAGTGTATTTCGGTAACGAAACACTGAAAACACTTCGGGATATGACATAGAAACGAGACTTCGAAAATCCCGAAATGTATTTCAGTAACCAGACACTGAAAACCCTTCAAGATATAACATAGAAACGAGACTAAGTAAATCCCGGAAACCCCGAAGCGAATTTCGGTAACGA